ATCAGGCTGTCTGAGTTCATATGAACAACGATTAAAGTTACTCGTCGTCAGGCTACAGAAGAATACCATAATTCCTCCGTTCAGTTAGGCCTAAGACATCGAGAGTCACGCAGACCTATAGCAACCCAGCCACAACACTTAATTGCGAATAACATGCCGTACCTGAACACAGAATCGACCACAGAGTCCAGTGTTTATATTTTTTCTACGAATGGAGTGGAATTTGCACCGCAGCGCCCCCACACCTTGTTGCTCATGACAAGAATAGCATGTATAGTTATCTTTATTGAAGTGAATTAGGTTTAAATCGCCGTCATGCATGAATGAATGATATTTTTGCAATTTTACACATAATAATCCACGATGATCACATTACACAAAACTGAAATTGCACGTCAAAATAACACATTGTCACCCCCCCCCCCCCCCCCCCCCAATTTCACAAATCACGTTTTCAGGGGAGCCAATGTCTTATTAAGGGGAGCCGAGCTCCCCCGTAGTTCGCACCCTGCTTAAAAGGCAGCTCACTATGTTTTGAAACTGAGCTAATTTTTGTTCTGTTTGGGAACAAATCCCCTTAGATTGAAATGGCCTGTATATATATATATATATATATATGTTTTCTCAGGGCTCTTCCTGGCATGATGCAGTGGATCCGCTCACAGCGACCTGGGGAAAGTGGAGTAAACATCATCACGGTCGATTTTGTGGAGCTGGGGGAATTTGTCAGCGCCGTTATCACCCTCAACTACTACTTGGATGATGAGGAAGAGAACGCCACCTGAACCTCCACATTTCCTACATCGCTTGTGGTATCAATTACTTGCTCCCTCTCTCTTTGCCATATTTTTGTTTTATTGATTTTTATTTATTTTATGAATCATAGAGGCTGTGTTCGTCTGACATTTTCAGGGCTAATGGAAACCATGAGAATGATAGTAGAGACCAGACACGGTCAGGTGGAATAATTTCAGGTTTTGTCTGAGGATGAACAGAGGCAGATGGTGATTTCATTTCTTTCTGGGCAAAAAAGGTGACTGGCCTTTTCCCATGTTTCTCTGCTTTCAATCTGTTGGATTACTAGTTACTGATCCACATGCTCGAAACCTTGATAAGTTCTGCCCAGATTCTGCTTCTGATCAAAGTAACAGTAACATTAACTCATTTCATGGGAATAAATATCGTTTGTACAGTGAATGTGATGCTGAATCTATAGTAGGTTTATTTCTAGTGGTCATAGTAACTTGTATGATTGTCGAGTTGTAAATACTTGTAAACCTGTTGAATTGTAACTTTGCTCACTATTTGTCATGCCCGAACATACATCAAGAGTTGAGGTTCCCTTTGGGGCCTCGGCCTGGTCTTACAATGTTGAAGAAGTGAACTATTAGATGTTTGTATTCGCAACCAAAAATTGCAATTGTATGTAACAGCATTTTTGCCTTTCTGCCGTTATCAACACTAATAAGTGAGGCATTGTATCTACATTTTTGTAGTCATCCTTTACTTTATCCAACAGATTCTTTTATATATCCGTGAACAACATAAATATTCTTTGCATTTGCACTGCTGTGACTGTGGACTGTTAAAGAGTGGCCACTGAAGTTGCAGAACCCCCCCCCCCCATACAATCCACCACTTAATAATGCACAATTTGTATTCAGTTGTAAACATGCATACATAAACAAACACTCAAGAGACTCACTTAATGGGTGTGAACAGACTTATTATAACACCATTTTCTAATTAGCCAGACTAATTGGGTAAAGGGCCATGCTAATGTTTTAATCCCACAGATGCCAAGTAATTGCATTTGTTCAATATATGACATTATGAAACAATTTCCCACACTGCTGCCTTCTCTCTTTTACAGTCAGGTGGCACTGGAAAACTAACTAGAAAGTTTGCTGCATTGTTTGTTTATTGAAGTGTTTAAATCATTTTTATTAATGTGACAATCACATGGCCAACCTGGAGCATGGACTTGCATTAATCATGCCTTTGTACAGTATAAAATCGCATGTAGTTGTCTAGGTCAATAAATTGTATGTAAACTTTCTATGGGTATATGTCCTAATCGAACATTTCTGACAAATCTGGTGTACAATAAATG